ATTCATTATATTTTTTGTAAATATTTTTAAATTTTAATAACTATTGTTCAAAAAGTCATATCTTATGTTCATATCATATGTGTTGAAAAGTTTTAGTTTTTTGTATGAAAACTATTATTTGTTTTTAAAATAAAGATTATTTTACATTTTTAACTATTTTTAAGTAAATCCTTGAAACTTGAAACTGTATGAATCAACCAAGTTTGTAAAAATCATGTTATATTCTATTAACCTTCAAATATGTATATATTTTTGACACTTTTGTAGACAATAAACGAGAAGAAAGATTTAGACATTATTTCATAAAACATAATACGAGTCCACAATTATTTCTACTCATAATTTAATTTATCCTATAATCCAATTGAAAACATGAGAATACAACACATACAGGAAATCTGTGTTACATATTATATGAATCATAGAAATTACTATTTTTGCACAAAATAATAAATTAAATGAAACTATATTAATTTTAAAATTAAATCTACACATCGTAAGGTAACTGTCGCAATTATTATGTACCTTTTAATTTTATACCTTTTAAAAAGTAGTTTTGTTGAAATACATTTTTATTTTTATTTATTGTAAAGAATATAACTTATAAGTTAGCACTTTGGTAGATAAATTATCAACTTTATGATAATTATTAAAATGGTTTCTGTATATTATAATAATCTTGTTTTCACTTTTCCTGAATATATTATTATTCAATAAACACATTGTATTTTTACAGTACTTGCCATACATTTGTCTGAATAAGGGATTTGAATAAATATACGCCAAATGACAACATTTGTATTGAATATTCATTATTGCTATGAAAGCAACATTTTCTAACAAATAATTTATTGACCCAAAAAACCAAAATAAAACCAAAAGTTAATTAATTAATTAAGCAAATATAGAGCTAATAAAGTGTATACTTAATTAAACATATTTATTTAATGAGTTGTTTAACTCAAACTCATTGACTGTTATTCGGATAAAATTAGTATTAAATTCCGATAATTAGATTCAAAAACAAGTGGAGAGAAAGTAAAGGTGTGTCTCATATACTGTATAAGCATTATATAAGTTATACAATAGTTTGCAATTCCGTCCGTAAAGTTGCCAATAATAAGATGTAAATAATGTATTACCAGATCTTTGGTGTTAATTGACCTTAAAATACCGATTCATGTTAATATTGAACATAAAACAATGCAAATGGTCTGTATTTGGTACCAAATGGTGACAACAAATGCATTCATATTTTATATTCTTGAATATCATTACATCAAACATATAAAAGCACGTCTTGTTTTGTGTTCAAATCATTCACATTCTTCGTTTAATTCATTGAGTATTTGATCGCAAATAAAGGCAAAATGAAAATAATTGTAAGTCTTATGAATGATTATGAAATGAAACTAATATTTAAGTGAAATGTTAAAGCTTTCAGTGTTGGCTGTCTTTGCATTTGGCGTTATATTATCCGAGGCCGGCGGCTATGGAGGTCTTGGATACGGTGGTCTCGGATTAGGATACGGCGGTCTGGGATACGGCGGCTTAGGCTACGGAGGCCTCGGTTACGGAGGTCTAGGTTATGGAGGTTTGGGTTACGGCGGTTTGGGATACGGCGGTGGATACGGAGGCTTTGGATACGGCGGATATGGGGGCTATGGATATGGAGGTTATGGTGGTTACGGTGGTTATGGCGGTTATGGAGGCTATGGTGGATATGGAAAGGGATTTGGCAAAGGATTTGGTTATGGTGGATTTTATAGATAAATATGTACATGTTCATTTAAATAATTTAGTGAACAGCTTAATATAACAAAATATATTTTTCACAAGATTACATTGGAATATATTTAAACAAATAATTTTATTATCTTTATTATTATAAAGTAGCTTTATTTAATAATTTATTGATTATGAATTTTTAATATTTTTTGTTAACCAATTTTACATAAATTATTTCATTTATTATTGTTTAATTTAATAATTAAAGCATTTATAACTTAATTAATTGTATAATATTTGATAAAATTGGTGAATAAAAATAAAGCAATTGAAGCAAAAACAAGAAAAATATTTTTAGATAATTATTGAATAACTCAAACCTTCAAAATAATCGATTGGCAACTTTATATTGTTGTATTTATTATACTGTATTTACTTCAATAATCTTTTTTGTATATTACAGCAGATCTAACCATAATAAAACTATTGTAGATTTGTAACACCAGTTCATTTTGTAGCATTTTTACAACAAAAAATGCATTTATATTATATTTAAATTTTTTATTTATATTTTTGATGACTAAAGTACCATATACCGTTAATTGTTAAAAGTATTGTGGTTTTAATTTTAGAAATATTTAATGGATCAAGTTTATGAATACAATTTTTATTTAAATAATGTACTTAATTATATGTATAGGCAATGGAAATACAATTAAATTTTGTTGTTAAAAATTTGAATGAATTGAATAAATGACAGGAAAATGTATGAAAATATGCAAAAATTTTATTAAAATACCTTATGTTTGTTCATTAAGTGATTGAACACAATGTGACCTAATCTTAAAAGTTATTAAAATTCATGGCTTTCCGTTTCAAATGCAAATTAAGTGACAAAATACAAACCATAGCTTTATTGTTAACATTCAGTCTAAACAGTGAATTACTTACAGTAAACAACATCTCAAATGAATATGTATTTTAACATTAATGTTAACTCTGTTTTAAATATACAACTTTGAAGTCTCTATTATGCTTAAAATATTGGTGAGAAACTGAATAATTTTAAATTTATCATATTTTTGTGCAATTTTATGGATTTATAATTCAATTTATAGTTTCTGTTGCTTTTGTTGATTATTCTTCACACAAATGTTGACGCCTTTTACGGAATGATGGGATTTAAGAAGAATATAACAATCTTTATGCGAGTCGACTCTCAAAACTATACTTACTTTGAGCCCGACTAACAAATGCATCCATCCATTCAAACGCTTAACAATACTGGATATAAACTCGGCTTTTATTTCGCTTAGAAACTTGTAATCATTTTATATTAAATTTATATAAAATTATTACATTTTTACAATTTTTTTGGAATAAGTTATATATTGATATAAATATGTGTTATTTCTGTTGTTTTGTAATTATTAAGTTTAATTGAATTATAAATAAAAATCTTGTTATTTAAGCAACATTTGTTCGTCTCCTTTGAATTGTATTTCTATTATTATAAGCGTTATTCACATTATATCTGAGCCGAGGATTTCTGTATTGTGGAGTTCTCTGTCCAACATTGGCCGGCACTCCTATATTACCATTGTTTCCGCCAATATTATTAGCATTATCTTAAAAATCATTCAATATATAAATCAATTTATACAAAAATTTAAGATTTGGGTATAAGTAGTTTTAATATCTTGTGATAAATGCAGCCCAGATTATAATCTATGAACATATTATAGTACAAATGTACTGTTCAGTACACAACTAAATAATTTAGGATTTTATGTTTATTCCCGGGTAGTTGCTTATTAGAAATGGTATTTAAGTAAATCTAGAACTATCCAAATATTTAAGCATATTTAAGACATATCCAGGAATACAGGAGTAGTGGAACATTAAAATAGTTGAAACAAATGAAGACTTACTGGCATTGTTAGGCACTCTAACCACTATAATAATAGGTCTCTGGAAGAAAAGCGCTGATTTTTGCATCGATAAATTGGACGAAAGATTTACAAAAACGTTTTCATTAGAATTGGTTTCATTATAATTGTCTTCGTGTGATAGACAAACAATTTGCAATACAATCATTACAATCATTGAAACAGTTTTCAGAAATTTGAAAGTAATCTCAAGTTTACCACACATTTAAATGTTGAATACTTTCTAATTGTAGTAAAATATTGAAATAAATTTGGGAAATATTTTTAAATCAAGTCATAAAAGATCAATACTTTAATAATACGGATGTATTAACTTTTGCACATATTTATACCTTTTGTCCCAAATTTTCAATTATTTGAAATACAACCAGGATACAATGTATAGTTTTCAATAGATCCTTCAAATTAGTAAAATAGTTACAGTATTATAATAAAAAAGGTAATAACTTTAGAAATTGTATGTTTATTTAACCATATTTTCAATATTCAATATAATTATATAAATTTTATAAAATTTTAAAAATAAAATTACAAACAAATAAATTGATGAAAATCACAAAATATTTACACAAATGCCTAAACTACTATGTATAAGCAAGTATGAAGGTGACTAAATTCAATGGTTTGTGTTAATTGTCAATAATGTCAATGTTTTCAATTATGTATTTACTTTAAAATTAGCAAATATTATGACATTAAATAACATTCAACTAAATGTCAAATACAGTAAAAGTAGTCTTATGTTAAGTCTCTTTAATTAGTATCAACTCTTTGGACACTCAATGGGTTTAATGAGATAACTATGAAATCATATTAAATATACATTTGATTGCAATTTAATTGCAAAACTATAATACAATTTAATTAAACTTATTTCAGTCTTGTTTTGTTTTTGAGAGCAAATCTATTATTATGATTACTAATATTGCGATAATCATGTGAAATATGGTTAATATGTTTGCTGAATGAATCTCTTTGTGCGGTCAACTCATCCCTCATATCATCGATGTCCTCATCGGCGGCAATGTTTGCCTCTTCGATGTCTTTCATATGATTAGCCATTTGTTCAATACTATGGGTGTAATCGTTAAGTACTGCCACTCTCTTCATGTGTTCATAGGATTGGTAGGCGTTTTGTGTGACAACAATGATAATCACAATCAATACAATGCATACAACGGTAACCACAGTATGAGTTACGGCCCGCAAACGGACCCACGAAAGCGATAACACTCTCATTCAAACACTACATCTGTAATGCAATCAACACTAATCCGAGACAATAAAGTACGTGCAGTCGTGGGCTGTGTTGTGTTGGGACGCATGCGCTGTGAGTCATATCCTCTTTGGTTTGACTTCCTTTGGGTTTTTGTGCACAAAACGTGACGACAAACGCAAACCAATGGTTAGTTTTGACGATCTGTTCCGGCCTTTCGGTCAATCCGTAATGTCTTTTGTCTCAATCCATAGCCGACTAAACACGTGGTGGAGATCGGAAGGGTAGCGGTGGTGCACTTCGGGCCCTTCGCCGGCAAGACTGCGGCCATTCTGTTCCGGCCTTTCGGTCAATCCGTAATGTCTTTTGTCTCAATCCATAGCCGACTAAACACGTGGTGGAGATCGGAAGGGTAGCGGTGGTGCACTTCGGGCCCTTCGCCGGCAAGACTGCGGCCATTGTCGATGTGATCGACCAAAACAGGGCTCTGATCGACGGCCCGGTCACTGGTGTCCAGAGACAGGCCATTCAGTTCAAGAGACTTCGCTTGACTCAGTTCCGCATTCGTATTCCCAACGGAACCACTTCTGCAGTGGTGGCCAAAGCCTGGAAGAAGGACGACATCACCGCCAAGTGGTCCCAAACACAACAGGCGCAGCGATTGCACGCCACACAACTCGTATGAACACACCTTTTGTATCCCCTTCTCTCTTGTCTTCTTCTGGAAGTGATAAAGTGATGAAACAAAATCGATAGGAATTGCCGTCTGATAACGACCCGTGTTGATAACCCCAGCTCTCTGACAATTACCACTCCTATTATCACTATATTGTTTGATACTTTGATCCCATTTATGCTAAACACGTGTTTTTGTATTTTGCAGAAGAAGTCGATGAATGATTTCGATCGCTTCAAACTCTACAAACTTAAGCAAACGGTTTGTATTAACGAGTCATGAATAGTGACTGTGTTTTAATGATTGCATTTATAAAATGAGTTGTTTTTTGTTGTTCAGGTGAACCGAGCGGTGAATCGCAAGTTTGTTGTCCTGAAAGCTAAGGCATCGAAACAACAGAAAGAAAAGAGACAACAGTTGGAGAAGAAGGAGAAAAAACCGAAGAAGAAAACGGCAAAGAAGCCGAAGACCGCTAAAAAATAATTGTTTTTATTTGAATATAAATTAAACCAAATAAAAGATTTTGATTAAAACTTGTTGTTTACGGCTAGAAGAAGGAGAAAAAACCGAAGAAGAAAACGGCAAAGAAGCCGAAGACCGCTAAAAAATAATTGTTTTTATTTGAATATAAATTAAACCAAATAAAAGATTTTGATTAAAACTTGTTGTTTACGGCGATTGAATGAATTGATTCCCATTTGATATTAAATATTGGTCCAAATCTATCATTTAGTAAATGTTGTTCACATCAATGATTTATATTTTGATATTAATGTTAATAACCGAACATTTGATACCATTAGATGCCATAAGGATTACTATATTTGTATAAAATAGGCTCAAATGTTTGCATAAAGAAATAGGATAACGATGAAAATATTTTGAATGCAATGCTAACTATTTGCTATGATTTTATTGTTTATTTAATGTTAATTTTAATTCATTATAAATCAAATCTAAACAAATAGTGTGGAGAGTAATGGAGACGTGCGGTCGGATAGCGTTGGTGTCATTTGTATCGTCGCTGACATCACTGGTGTTGATATGGCTCATCAAACTGATGGTCACTTTCGGCGATAACGTAATCACCGATTGGTTTGTCATGATTTTCGTGAGTCACGCACTCATCACTCACGCCATACTTGGGCTCAGATTTTACACGCGTTCAAAGCTATACTTTCAGGTAAACACATGTCTGACACGTGTTTTGCTAACTATATATCTTAACAGACAGTTGTTTAAAGAGTCGAAACCGAAACTATATTTAGGTATCGTTTAGGGCCAGCCTTTTGGGTGAGGGCTTGGCTTTGGGTTTATTGGTGTCAACGTTGGGCACAACCAACTGGTCCACCAATTTTGGCCTCTATTTAGTGGTGTTATCGGCCTTTCATTTCAGCGAATATATTGTCACATCAATCATAAACCCGCGCTCTTTGTCTTTGGATTCATTCCTCTTAAACCACAGCAAAGAGTACGGCATAGCGGCCGCCGCATCGCTCATGGAGTTCACTATTGAGTCATACTTATGGCCACAAATGAAGGCTCATTTTTGGATCACAACATTTGGCTTAAGTCTGTGTATGTTTGGCGAACTCATGAGGAAGGGAGCGATGCTTACGGCCAGAAGTAATTTCAATCATATCATACAAAACCGTCGCCGAGAGGGACACACACTCGTCACGCATGGAGTGTACGCTTTCTGCAGACATCCGTCTTATGTCGGATGGTTTTACTGGTCTATTGGCACTCAAGTGAGCACTTCTGGCGATTAATATCGATTAGTATCTAAACTAAACACTCGTTTCAGATAATCCTTATGAATCCCATTTGTTGTGTGGGATATGCGCTCATCAGTTGGCGCTTCTTCAGTGACCGCATCTACGAAGAAGAGATCACTTTATTGAACTTCTTTGGCGAACAATATGTCAATTATAAACAAAAAGTCCGATCGGGTCTTCCCTTTATATCTGGTTATCGATTCCAACATTAATTTAATCATAAAAAACAAATCAATTTGTGAAGAATTTACACAAAAAATACAAAATGTGAAACATATTAGTCGTCCGTTTGTGTCCAAAGACAAGACTAGTCACTGATTTTACTTATATTTATTATAAATTGTGAAAAACTATTCTATTAAGTAATCAAGTATTTAAATAAACTAAAAATGCTGTTAACGTCCGCCACCGGCGCCCTCGGGATTGGTTGCGCCTGAGATGAGGAGGAATATGACCACCGGTACGATATACATCCACTACAAGACATACCATTCATTAAATCAATCATTTCATGTAAATTCTCTCATAAATGAAAGCAAATAAATATATTTACATATTTAGCGAAAAAGGATCGGTTGTCTCCTGTTTTGTCTCCGCGGAGTTTCTCTGCCTTTTCCTGTTCTAAGCGCTGAACGTATGTCTGTGTGTCGGGACTGGACAGGGATTCACACCATTCAGCTATCATTAAATTACATTTTCATATTTGTTTGCTATTAAATATACCCATTGGAGACAACGGTAGGCATAACCACAACAGTTGTGTTAAAATTAGTTAATTTCGTCGCCAATGAACTCTTCACCGAAGAAACGCATTGAGGATTAAGAGTGGATGCACTCAATGACAAGAACTGGCCGTTCGGGTCGAGGGTTACGACCAGAATGTCGGAGAGGGAGGACTCGTAAAGCGAACACTAGATTACGAGATAATCATATCATTGTTTAAATGAGTTATAAATAGGTTTTTGAAAGCATTTACAGCACTAATAAAAGTGGTCGAAGACTTGACCGAATTCTCGTTCTCCAAAGACTTGATGGCAACCGCTTTCAGATAATAATTGGATCCTTCGCTCGAGCTTTGCTGTCAAACCAATCAATTATAGATTAAAACAACAGTTATTTCGGATCTAATTAATGAAGTACTTTGAGGGCAGCGATGGACTCAATAGAGAGCGGTTCCTGTCTTATCAATGGACTGTTGTTGAGGCCATTAATTGTGATCAAAGCCCTCGACTCGTAGTTCAGGTCTGAAATGATATATCAAACAAAGGGTTAAATGATATTCAATTGAATTTATGACAGACTTTGATTGAAGGCATGAAATAGTTTGATGTAAACGATATTGGATTCATTGATGAGTAAGTCTTCGCTAAACTGATCCCAAAATCAATACACAATTAGTGGTTGAGTTTGGCTGTAATAGTGGTAATACTCACCGATTTATTGATTAAAACCAATACTATATTTGCCACAAATGTTATAAACCAATAGCTATTCATCGCTTCCTAATCTCATTTACAATTGATTTAGTTTTCAATTCAATTGTAATTTCAAAAAATTAAATCAATTTTTGGGACAAATGTTTACAAAATGTTTGTCAATAAAAGACGTCTTTCTATTGGTTTTCGTCAAATTAAAACAAATTTTATACTTTAGTTTAAATTACTTTTGATTTAATTTCTATAACTTTTTGTACAATTTATAAATTATAAAATAAAATTGTATTAATTTATTAACAAAAATATAAATGTTTTGATTATATACTGTATTATTTCTGTTTTACCAATTCTTGAAACTTTACGTAAAGATTACATAAGAGAAGTGGCCGCTTCACTTCTTGAGAAACTCCTAATCGAGGGCTAACGACATTACAGACCTTTTTATAGAAGAGAAGCAAGCGAACCCACGGCCGGAACGGACACAAGACTTGATACGGACTGACATTGATATGAACGCCGATACCGAGTGTAGCGAAATGGTTGAGCACCGGTTGACACGTGACCCAAGTTTGAGCGCTTCCCGAGTGTCCGCCATCGCACCAATACATGCACTCTATCCTCGAGATCAGGTCCTTAAGCTCTGTGTCGTCTAAACTGACGTAAAATGAGTACAACAACTGATTCAAAACAACACATCCTTTGCTGAATCCAATGACCGCTAATTTGTGATCTCCTTTGAAGTCTAAATTGAGATCCAATTGATTGAAACAATTGAGTAGAAGTAGTCTTAAGTGAGTCAACGCTTGTTTGGAGAACTCGTGTTTGGGAGACCCGAAGACATCGGAGACAACGAAGTTGTCGTAAACGGCGTAAGTCTTGTTGTGGAACCGATTCGCGCGAATCGCAAACACATGACTTGCGGTGAATTTGTCGGATATAATGGATGTCACGCTTTCCAGACAATAGGCCAACAGATGGCTGCGGTCTTCACCCGTCGTGTTGTCCACCATATGATGCCTCAAGTCCTGCACATCTCCGCCAAAATAGCAGACAATGTGACCATTGGTTGCATTTGGTGTCAAATGTTGGGGCGATTTATAGATAACATCATTGAATCGATTGCTTAATCCCTCGACACGTGTTAACAGGCGTTGAGTTTGCATTGAATTGTGTCTACAATTTGTCAATCATTTGTTCATTTGGTTTACTATTTAGACATTGAGTGAAGTGTCAAAACATTGCAGAGATTGCATGTACTGTGCATTCAATGTATTCAACGTATATTATATGGAGAGTAGACTGTATTAGACTGTATGCCAGTTGTGGCGCAAACTCTTCACAACACTTATTGTTTGATTACTTTTTTGAAACTCTTGTTTTCGTTTGTCAATCACTTCTTGGGATCAGATTTAATGGCGAATATCGTGAGGAAACAGTTGAATAAACAGATGTTTACCGTAAGTATAACCACTATATTGTGTTGTATTGAGTGATGACTTGAATTGATGCCATTCATGATGTGTTGCAGATCTGTATTGAGGGTAATATAGGAAGTGGTAAAAGCAGTTCACTGAAGCACTTGAGCGACAAATACCATAATGTGATCACTCATTGCGAACCAATGGACAGATGGGTTAACCTTAGTAAATGTTGGGGCGATTTATAGATAACATCATTGAATCGATTGCTTAATCCCTCGACACGTGTTAACAGGCGTTGAGTTTGCATTGAATTGTGTCTACAATTTGTCAATCATTTGTTCATTTGGTTTATTATTTAGACATTGAGTGAAGTGTCAAAACATTGCAAAACATTACATGTACTGTGCATTCAATGTATTGTATATTATATGGAGAGTAGACTGTATGCCAATTGTGGCGCAAACTCTTCACAACACTTATTGTTTGATTACTTTTTTGAAACTCTTGTTTTCGTTTGTCAATCACTTCTTGGGATCAGATTTAATGGCGAATATCGTGAGAAAACAGTTGAATAAACAGATGTTTACCGTAAGTATAATCACTATATTGTGTTGTATTGAGTGATGACTTGAATGGATGCCATTTTACACAACGTCTAGACATAACTCCCATTATATCCTTCACCATTTTCGTCAAGTGACTTCGTGAACTCGCTGTTTATGGTATTACACTAGTGAGTAACGCTTGGTTACCTGTCTACCCAATTGGAATCAGGACATAATATGATTGAAATGCTGTACAAAGATCTCAACCGAAATGCGTTTAGTTTTGAACACTTCTCACAATTGACACGACTTGAGATGTTTGCCAACTCTTATGAGACCACAGATCACGATAAACACATCCGTCTGATGGAGAGATCCATATATTCTGCGAGACATTGTTTCACACAAAACCTCTTCAATAGGTTTTCAAATTAATTGTTTGAGAAAATTATTAAATAATATTAAACATTAATTTTGTCCCGAATTAGTGGTAATCTCTCGAAACCGGAGTTTATTATAATTGACGAGTGGTTCAAACGGTTGAGCGCTAAGCCGTGTCTTAAAGCCGATCTCATAATCTATTTGCGAACTTCTCCTCAAACAGTATTACAGAGAATCCAAAACAGATCCAGAAATGAAGAAATGCAAATTCCTATTGTAAACCATTATATTTTCATTCAATTATTGTTTAAATATAATTTGTTTTGACTTTCCTTTGAAGGAATATTTGAAAGAATTACATGAATTGCACGACAATTGGCTGTTAGACGAGAACCGATCCATCGATTGTCCAGATGTGCTCACATTTGACGCCGATTTGCCACAAAAACAATTGTTTGCGTCACTCGACACACAATTGGATCACGTCTTGAAACACATTTTATAAGTTTTATACCATTTTTGAAATGATTTATTGCATCAAAAAAGTCATTGCATTAAACATTACCGGTATATCATTATTATCAACAAATCAAACAAAATTTATTCAATATTCATCTTATATTTTAAAAATATGATAAATAGTTATTTTACTAAAGTTTCATTAATACTATTAAAACAACAACATAACACACATATTAGGAGACGAATATTTGTCTATTAATCCCATTAACACAAGTATTACTTCTAATTCCTATGTTAAGGTACAACACATTAGTGTTATAATTATTAATGTAATAATAAGTTATTGTAATTTAAATATAATTATTTAATAACAGAATAAATAATAAGGAAGAGACAGAAAATCAATTATATTAAAATAATTTAGAGATGTGTAGTTAATGGCATATAAAGAACATTAAATAAGTCAAATGTTACCACTGATAGTAATATTTAATAATATCAACATTGTTGAGTTTGATTCCATATTTTGCATATAATTAAATATAGTCCATCATTAGATGGGCTTGTTTTAAACTCACATAACAGGCATTTTACATAATATGTATTATAATACTCTACAACTCATACAACGTCTAATTTGATCTCATTGTAAAGCTTCCACAACTATACCGTATAGTATTTATAAATTTCCATACTTTTTACCAAAAGTTTGCAAATCTGACAACAATATTGGTTTTTGTTCGAATAGTGTAAAGTAATGTAAAAAGTAATGTAAAAAGTAATGCAAACGGATTTGTTTTTAAATAAATACTTTGATTTCTATTGTATTATTTTTTGAAAGTATTTAGTTTTGTTATACAACGGTTAAATATGTAAATATTAATATAACGGTTAATTTTTGTTTATTTTGATGCCATACCCTTTAACTCCAGGTTTGAAACACTTATTATTAGGTACAATAAGTTATAGTAACTTTATAATTGAAACAAAAGTTGTGGAGACCACGGGTTCCCTACTGGAAGTTTCCATGTATTTAGTATTTTCGGATATAAATGAGATCTTTCCGTATCTTTTAAGTGATTTTCTTGATTTAAAAACCAAATGCTATCTAAATGTATGTAAATGAACGCAAATGCAGTTATGATACACTTTTTAAATGCATTTAAGAATAAAATTAAGATAAACTCAAATACAGTATTAAATATATTTATTGAATTTGTATTTTTAGAAGAAGGAGAAAAAACCGAAGAAGAAAACGGCAAAGAAGCCGAAGACCGCTAAAAAATAATTGTTTTTATTTGAATATAAATTAAACCAAATAAAAGATTTTGATTAAAACTTGTTGTTTACGGCCATTGAATGAATTGATTCCCATTTGATATTAAATATTGGTTCAAATCTATAATTTAGTAAATTTTGTTCACATCAATGATTTAAATTTTGATATTAATGTTGATAACCGAACATTTGATACCATTAGATGCCATAAGGATTACTATATTCGTATAAAATAGGCTCAAATGTTTGCATAAAGAAATAGGATAACGATGAAAATATTTTGAATGCAATGCTAACTATTTGCTATGATTTTATTGTTTATTTAATGTTAATTTAAATTAATTATAAATAAAATCTGCATAAATAGTGTGTAGAGTAATGGATCCGTGCGGTCGGATAGCGTTGGTGTCATTTGTATCGTCGCTGACATCACTGGTGCTGATATGGCTCATCAAACTGATGGTCACTTTCGGCGATAACGTAATCACCGATTGGTTTGTCATGATTTTCGTGAGTCACGCACTCATCACTCACGCCATACTTGGGCTCCGATTTTACACGCGTTCAAAGCTATACTTTCAGGTAAACACATGTCTGACACGTGTTTTGCTAATTATATATCTTAACAGACAGTTGTCTAAAGAGCCGAAATCTAACTATATTTAGGTATCGTTTAGGGCCAGCCTTTTGGGTGAGGGCTTGGCTTTGGGTTTATTGGTGTCAACGTTGGGCACAACTAACTGGTCCACCAATTTTGGCCTCTATTTAGTGGTGTTATCGGCCTTTCATTTCAGCGAATATATCGTCACATCAATCATAAACCCGCGCTCTTTGTCTTTGGATTCATTCCTCTTAAACCACAGCAAAGAGTACGGCATAGCGGCCGCCGCATCGCTCCTGGAGTTCACTATTGAGTCATACTTATGGCCACAAATGAAGGCTCATTTTTGGATCACAACATTTGGCTTAAGTCTGTGTATGTTTGGCGAACTCATGAGGAAGGGAGCGATGCTTACGGCCAGAAG